AGATTCAGTCTCAGGTGTACTTCCATAAACAAGGAGAAAATCTATTGAACCCAAAGAAGTAACATGGTGGAGAAATAGTATGAAGAATAAGGCCCTTGAAAAATCAAATCAGCATTATAACACATTTCTTTATTATAGTGATTATAACGCTGACTCAAAGTACCTCTCATTCTATAACAAAGTTTGAACTCCATTGAACCGATTTTGGATTTCACAAAGGTTTTTCTAAACATTTTGCCTTTACTGGTTATAACAGAGTTCTTCTTGGGTTACACAAGCATGCATGAAACAGGAGCATCCAACTCAAGGATGCTGCAAGACTCCTTCAGATTTGTTTGCAGCCTTGCTTGTGTCATTTCTTACATTTCCTCTGCCAGTATTTCCTAATCCTGCTTTTCCCTTCATGCACAATGTGTGTGCTATAAGGGCTCTGACAGACAAGCTCTACCAGATCCAACAGCAGTGACTTAAGGCATTACCACTTCCAGGCTGCCCGTGCTCCTCCTTGCTGGGCAGATACCACCTGCCCTTGCAGAGGCAGTGGATAGACAGAAAGCTCTCTCATGCTCCCAAACCTGCGTAGCCATGACCAGAATGAGCAGCAGGAGCCGCTGCATCGTACAACTTCAAGGCCACATCTGCAAAGCCTGCAGCACCTTCAGAACTAATGAAACAACAGAGCTGTGTAAAACTCCCTTAGAGTAAAGTCCTGTTTATGGGGTGTCGAAAACACCCCTTGCAAAGGCAAACTGTACAAAATTTAGAAGAGATCTGTAACAACCTCTACAGACCACAGCAGAATACATTCAAAAAAGTGTGACATTTGGAGTACTACAGTGTGAACTAAACACAATTGTCAGTCAGGCTCTGATTTCATTTGCACTGTTTTTTCATGAGTGCAACTTTCAAAGCCTGTAGCCTTTATACTGTTCTGAAACCTTGATCCAGCAAAGCACTTACGCACATACCTAAATTTAGATTGTAGATTCAGGGAGCCTGAGATCAGGAAGGGACCATCTGTAGGAGCTTCTCTGTAGCCCAAACCACTGAGCTTCCCCTCCTGACTTCTGAGTTGAGTCAAATACTTTAAAGTCCAGGAACAGTTCCTTTGAAATGAGTTTCAATTACCCACCTGCTTTGAATCACAAGCTTGTTACATGGTTTGTTGGATCAACGCCTCCAGGAAATCAGAATCTGGTCTCCGGCACACCACATCTTTCCTGAGCTTTTCAGTAATGGTTTGAATACAATTCTCTCATTTAAGATTCCCATGCATTTGCTATCAGGTTGGCTTGATAAAGAGTATCGGGACAGCAAACTGCCTGAAGCTGTCAGCTCTTAGCCTCAAACTGCAAACTGTGCACAATGCTGCCTGTGAATGTGCATGCCTTTGTCCCTAGCTGAGGAGGAGGAGCAGATGGGAAGCTGAAGTTATATTTCGGTGCTGCTCACATAATGACACAGTGTGTGGCCCAAATCCAGCTCCTGGTTAAATCAGTACATGTCATCCTGGTTTACATTGCCGTCAAAGAAGCTAAACACATTAACCAATGTTAGGGGCATAAGAACACCGGTAAGCACAGCATTAACTTTACAGGGGTGGAAACACGAGAGCGAAGCTCTTCTCAAGGGCTTCAGAAAACTGTGGTAATTGCTGCACATGTAATTTTATACGAGAAATTTGACTACTCAAAGGATTAGACTACAATTTTTTCTCAAGACCTCTACCCATGAAACTGCTTTATATTTTATTTGAGCCCAAGGGAGGTAAGTAGAATTTGAGCACATGCTTAGCATCACACAGGTGCTTACATGTCCTCTCCAAACATGACTTCTCTCCTGATGGGCTCCCATGAGAACTGACAGAAAACATTGCACGAGTTCTATCATCCTTACTGAAGCTCCAATTCCTCACATCCTTCTGCTCCTTTTTTCCTCTTCCCACCCCTCAATTTCAAAAAAACAGGAAAGACAAGATTTGGAGATCAAGTCAAATGTCCAATTTATTTTTATAACTTGAAACTGGAACAAACGTTGTTTTGAACGAGCGTACAAATGAAATGGTAGACACATGCTGAACTCAACATTGTGACAGTAAGGGAAAAAAAAAAAAAAAAAGAGGCCAAAAATCTTGTACAGAGAATAAAAGGAACAATAAATATTTCACTAAGCCATATTGAAATGACCTCCAGCCATCTCAACATTTTATCCATAATAAAAAAAAAAAAAGTGCTCTTGTTTTTTAAACAGAGCACAAATACCAAGCAATAATAAATAGTTCCAAACTTGTAGTAAAAGACAAAACCTCCAAGTAAACAACAAAAGCTCATACAATAAGTAATAGAAAAAGGTAATAAAAATATTTTGCCTTGCCGGTACAAATGCAAACAACTTAAATCAACGTTACTTTGCTTTGCAGTTCTAAAATACAAAGAGCACCATAAAAATGAGTTTGCCTGTGATAAACAAAACCTTGGACTGTCTTTTACATAGGACTGGGATGAAATGCTGATTTTTTGACCCTTTCCTTAAAAAATCAGTATTTTTCTTCCTCAAACCAGGTTCTCAAGCCTGTCCTGCTGCCAAGGGAGTCATGTGGAGATTTGTTCCAGACTTCAAAGGCATCAGGACTAGACACAATGAAACTAATAAATTCCACCTTAAAATAATAATAATAAAATCTAGTTAAATTGTGAAGAGAACTACGGCAGCATTCTAGCTATTTTACCTCTATGCTATATTGTGCTTATGGCCTAGTAAACTACAGTTCTCCTAAGCAAGAAGAAAAGGAGAGCCATTTCATTATCACTACAGTCTGCAGAAACACAACCCTTGTGCTTTTGGGGTGATTTACTGTTAGTTTCAGTGATCTAAGTCACAAGACTAGACAACTGCTGGTGTTGGCTGTCCTGGATAAAATAAAATAGAGACCGGAGCTCCTTAGCAGCTTACACTACAATGAAAGGTGAATTCTTTCTTAAAGCAAAGAACCATGGACTGAAAACACTGAATTATGGACTGTTAACTTCTGATCTGCATTACATTGATGTACGTCCAGGGGATTCTGCTGAGCTCTGCAACATGTCTCTGGTTTTATACAAACGTCAGAGATCTGAATTTTCACCAAAAAAGTGAAAATGTGCCTTTAAGGGATCAGATTCCAGCCTCAGCTGTGCTGGTGCAATCCAGCAGTAAGAGTGATGAATAATTCCTGATTTTTATCAGCTTGAGATCCAAAATTTGTCCAGAAGTCTTGAGGGTACGTTGCTCAAGCCAGGAAGACATATCTGTTTGGTAGCTGGACCAAATTCTCCCTGCTGTCACACCCATGCCTCTCCAATTGCTCCAGCCGTTCTGCACCGATGAAAGCTGCAGAAGAATTTGGCATGGAAATTTGTTTTGTTTGCTTTATTTTTACCGTCATTTCCTCCAAGGGCGGTGAACACTTTCTCCTTCTCCCCTTCACTAGAGCATCAGTGCCTCTTCTGTCACCTGTCTTCCCTTTGACCCAACGGGGAGAGAGCGTGAGAGAGAGAGAGAAAGAACAGCAAAGAGACATCAAAAGGCACAGAATTTCATCCCAGTCCCTCAAACATTCAGAAATTTATGGAATGTACAATTCGGAGTGAACAGCAGCAAAGCAGCTAATAACATGGACTGGCAAGACCTGTACACGGAGTAGGTCCTGTTCTGACAGGGAAGAGAAGGGCTGTGCCTGGACCAATTTTACATCAACCCAGTTACAACTGTACCAACAGCAGATCATTTTACCTGTGTCAAAACGATGCGCCACGCTTTTTGCTATAAAATGCCTTTCTTCCAGAGGGCGGTCGGGCAGGGAGCAGTGAGTGGGGTGGCTGGGAGAGGGAAGATGTGTTGGACATCTTCTTGTTTGGAAGGGGGGGAAAAAAAATCTCTCTCTCTCTCTCGAACCTGTGGGGAAGCTGCAGGATGTCACCTCAGACACCTTTATGGAAACTGAATTTCACTTCTCACAAATAGATAATAACCATCAAGCCTGGTTCAACCATACCTGGTAAAACCTTGATGCAAGGGGGCCAGGCAACTTTGAAGATATTTAGAGCCCTGTGGGAACAGCACTTTTTTGTAGGCCATTTCTGACAAAAAATATATATATATACAACTAAAATTATTTCTGAACAACGACAATAAACAAAAAAAAAATTAAAAAAAAAGTTCTTAATTATTCTGTTTTGTTTCTTTTACTCAAAGGTCGTCTAACAACCCCCTTTTTTTTTTTCCTGTACAATAAGGACTTCACGTACAAATTTTTTTTTTTTTTATTTTTGAAATATTTTATCCTGCCAAATTAAAAAAATATATTATGGCAGCCTGTTTGTTTGTTTTTATTTTTATTTCCAAATTCACTAACAAAAAAGTACATTAAATCCCTTTAAAAGGACAAGCGTACAGTTAAAAAATTACAAGCTTCAGTAAAAATACAGCAAGTGCCTACATCATATGAATCAACCAATATCAATATCCATTCCAGAAGGGGAAGGGAATGGGGATGGGGGAAGAAAAAAAGAGAAAAATAGGTACAGGTCAGAAACGTGATTTTTTTTTTTTTTTTTTCTGCAAAGCAATAACAATATTAAGCACTTTTTTCTACATACTTTTTCTACTTGGTGTAGCAATCACCTTTTAATCCCCGAATACAAGATTCTATACATTTTGGAAATAAAAATTCAACACCCAAGGCAGAAAAAAATTTACTAAAACTCAAGACTTTACAGTTACAGTGACAAGAACAAATTTATAGACCCACCATTTAAATTTTACTGCAACATTTTCAAGGAAAAAAGAAAAGGTTTTTTTTTTTTTTTTTTTCTTTCTGGTTTTGTAAAATGCCCAGGCATTCTCCATTATTACAAATACTGGTCCACTTTTACAGTAATCAAGAAATTTTAATATATATAATATATACTAAAACCCCGTCACCAAAAGAAAACAATATACACATGGCCATTATGGCATTTTTTTTAATAACCTATTAAGCAAACTTTGAAAAAAAAAAGATTGCTCAAACACACATACACACAATTTCTTTTTTACCCTTGTATGTATTCAATACTGTAAACGTATTTTAAGACAGAGTGCACTAAATTTAACTTTTAAAAAAAATTAGCCGTTGTTCCTGAATTGTTTTTTCTCATTCAATGATAACAACTTGTAATTTGTGTCATTTGAGTTTTAATTCAGCAGTAAATCATTTCCATTCCATTTCCTAAGCAGCGTTGTCCTGAAAAAAAAAAAAAAGCTGAGAATAATTCAGCTAATGGATGTCCGAAGTTGTGCTGGGTATACATCTTCATTTGATTGGGTCTTATGGCATTTTCATGTCCACTATCTTCAACCAGTAATTTTTTATTTTTTTTTTTTAAGTAAATGTGGCTCTTTTTTTCTAAAGAATGTACTTTTCTTGTTTTACTTTTTTTTTTTTTTAAAGTCTTTTCATTTCACAAAAACATTTTGCATTTGTCTCAAGAGACTCAAATAGGAAGATCAGTTTTCAAGGCACTCACGTCAAATTGAATGGCAGTAGAAAAACTGTCCAATAAATTATTTTTATTTATTTTTCTTTATAGTGCCAGTATTGTGAATGCCATGCTTAGCAACACTGACACTTAATCTCAGCTGTTCCCTTACAGTTTAACCCACCTTTGGGCCAAATAGAAGAATATGACGTAATTTCTTGTTGAGAAGCCATTTTTCTCTTAACCACAAACAAAAGCTTTAAAGTGCGGGTCAACATAATTAAAATCTCTAACCATAATTGTCCACTGTTTGTTAATATTAGGCATAATGAGCTTTGAAAAAACTGGAAATTTGAAAGTAGAGCAGGTGCATTTTTCTGTTCTTTACTTTTTTTTCTATTGTAATGCTTTTCTCAAAATACAATTAACTTCTGTTCCTAATTAAGTCAATGGGAAAATTCTTGCCGACTTCAGTAGGAGCAGAATCTTGCCAAGATAAGTAGATGGACTAGAATTTATTTTTTCCTTCCTTATAATAGCATAACATCATTGTACATCATATAAGATAGTTTTGATATTTCCATTCATAAACGAAAAGACTACGAGTCAAGTCTTTTCATTGAGAAATTGCCACTTGCCCATCCTCTAGTAATTCTTTTAACTACAGCAAATTTGGACTAAAGGAGAGCCACGTACAGACATCCTAGACTCAGCTTTGTGTTTATGAGGTTTAAAATGAAAAATTTGGCTCCTCTGATGTTTGTAAAGAATGTTACAATACTTGAGATGTATTTTTATTGTCTCTGGGAAGAGTGGCAGGAGGGGAAGAGGGAGGGAAAAACCCCCGAAAGTGACAATGTGGCACCATTCTGTTGCCATAGCTTTAATAGCAAGAAGAAACTATCCAGTAATAATGCACAATTAAGAATGTTAACTGTTTTTTGAATGTAGCTGCCTTTTGCACCTATGACTTTTTAGTTGACGTGACTTTAATGGTGAAATCCATCTAGAAAAGGCCTCTATCATTAGCGACATTGTCAGTGCTACATATTCTATCCAATTCCAAAAGAAAGTGCTAATTTTAAAGATTGTTATCCGCTGTACAATTTTGTTTTCCCTAATCTTCAGGGTTATTTAAAAAGAGGAAAGGAAAAAGAAGGGGGAGGAAGGGTGAAAGAAAGAAAGATCTGTTAAAATGCTGGCTTCTTCACAAGAAATTACACATGCTTAGCTTAAATTTCAACAAAGCAGCGGCCCAAAAATTATAATTTAAAAAGATATGTTTCTCCCCTACAATGCAAGTAATCTCAGGCTACGACTGGGTAAAATTAAAAAGGGATACCCAACAAAATTTAAAAGAAATTTAAACAGAAAGAATAAAAAAAAGTACCTGCACATGCCAAAAAATTACAAAAACCCAATAAATACAGAAATTATTGCACAGTTAAAAGGCTCCACAATTTTTACTGCCTTAATCAACCCTCGGGTTTAATAGAACTTTGTAGACACAGGTTATATTTAAGTGCCAAAGTCTGGCACCTACCATAGTTATGCTAAGTAATGTTTACGGAGGCAAGTTAGGTCATCTTTTCTCAGTTGGCAATAGTTAAAACTGTACAAATAAAATGTTACCTAGACCCCTGAAATTTAACCTAGCGGGGGAGGGGAGGGGGGCCTTAGCTTCTTTCTGCCTGCTCAATTTTGACGTCATTTGTCAGCAAATGTTCTCCATGCCACTTTTTCATGTGTTTCTCCAGGGTGCTGTAAACACTGAAGGGCATCTGGCAAATGTCGCAGCGGTAGACCTCCTTCCCTATCTGGCCATGCGTTTTCATGTGACGCGTCAGCTTACTGCTCTGGGCACATGCATAGTTGCAGAGCTCGCATTTGTAAGGCCGCTCTCCAGTGTGGCTCCGACGGTGCACCGTCAAATTGCTGCAGTTCTTAAAGACCTTGCCACAGTACTCACATGTATCGCTCCTGCGCCCTTCCTTCGAGCTGGGTCGCCCAGGACCTGGGCCGCTGATGTGGGGGGTGCTGCCTCCGGAGGCCGTGCCGCTGCGCCCTGAGAGCCCCCCGTCCAGCATGTCCCCCGGCGGGGTGGAGAAACGCAGGCTCCCATTCTCGGACGAGTGCTCGGAAGAGGTGGCGAAGGGAGATTGTCGGGAGTCTGTGAATCCTAGAAACGGATCCTTCATGAAGTGCCTCGATGCTGCGTACCCTACCAGCCACTGGGAGTAAACGTTTTCGGAAGGTATTATTGTTGCTGGTGGCAAGTCCAAATCTTTCTCAACTTTTATTCGTTTAGATGAGTTGTTTAAGCTGGGGCTTGTGATAGGTGTTGGCTTCCGAGGGAACAAGTTTGGGAAGGGCTCACCTGGGCCAAAGTTTCTTCCGTTGACCGTCCCCTCCTCGGTGCGGTCCAGCTCTCCTACCACCGAGTCTTCATCACCTGTGTCTCTTGGACAGAGGTCTCGCGGACACAGGTCTCGTTGGTCAGAAGACCTTTTCATGAAGCTACTCCTCTTCTGTTTCTCAGCTAGCATGTCGTTGTATTGCTGGATGGCACCGAGACTTACATTCTCTATCACTTTTCCCAGGACGAGGGATTTCTCATCTGGCAGTGATTTGGAACCATTTTCTCGGTTACGACTCAGCTCTGAGTCCATACTGAAGCTTGACTCTGGCCTGCTCTCATTTTCCAGCTCCTCTTCCTCCTCCTCCTCCTCTTCCTCTTCTTCATTGTCATGGCCGAGGGAGGGATCGCTCTCATTCCTGAAGTCTGTCTCACTGGATTTCAGTCCCTCTCCAGTGAGTTCACTCGTGCCTGGCTCAGGAGAACTCGTGGTGGACAGTCCATCATCTGACCTGCCTGTCATGGAGCCAGCTTTATGCATATGCGTTTTCATGTGACGCTTTAGCTTGCTGGCTTGGGAGCAAGCATGGTCACATAGCTGACATTTGTAGGGCTTTTCTCCTGTGTGACTACGCCGGTGGACAATAAGGTTGCTCTGGAACTTGAAGGTTTTCCCACAGAATTCACAGGACTTACTCTTGGCCTGAGGCTGGGGAGGCGTAGTGCTGCTTGGGGGCATGGGGGGCAGTGGTGGGGTGCTCAAAAAAGGTGATTTAGGACTCGGCTGGAAAGGATTCAGCAGGCGATGCATAGGGTTGGTGCGACTGGGCGAGACTGGCGGAGGGGTGGAACTGTTTCCTGCCAGCTCTCGAAGCCTTCTGGAGAAATCCATCGCTGGGGACTCAATTGCCATGGGGTTTAAACGCATAACTCTGTCAAAGGCACTGGGATGCTGGGCAACTAACCCCATTTCTTCGGCACTAAGGCGATGTGGATCCAGATGATGACGAGGTGGTGGGCTGAATAGGGGAGGCGTGTTTGGGAGCCGACCCTCACCAAAGCCAGGATGTTCACGCAAGATGGGTCCTGTCATCCGCAGAAGATTAAAAGGGTTGTTGTCTCCAAGGAAATTCATCAGCGGGGACTGTGCAACAGTCTCTGGTCCCAGAGGAGGAGGGATGGTGATGCGTGGAGTAAGGGAACTGTTGGAAGGGCTTGTTTCCAGGTAGATGCGGAATCCATGTGTGTTCTGGGCATGCTGAAGCAAGAACCAAGCGCTATTAAAAGGCTGCTTGCATGTTGTGCAAATATAGCTTGAAGGCTCATCTTTACCTATAAAAGAAAAACAGAAAGAACACTCAAAAAATAATACAGTGGAGAACATTCAAATACAGTTGGCATGTGCTTTATTTTGCTAACACATTTCCTCCTTGGCATTTCTGAAAGAAGGACTTAATTGCAATGTATTGACTGATATAAATTGTTGAACAGCACATTTACTCACCACACTTATTCAGTTAACATGTATGATAAAATATCACGCATACGCATTGGTGCCATATACGTTTATACCCTCCAACTTGCAAATAAAACCTTTTATGACGCATGAGGATCCAAATCCTTTCATGTGTTTATTCCACAAAAAAGGAATTTGTTTCAAGGGATTTATGGCTATGTATGAAAATCAAAGAAAATTCAGTATGGTAGGTTTTATGGGGCACCTGCAGGAGCTTCAGTATCATTTCCACTCTTTCGGTTTGTATTTTATATACTCAGGGCAGCAGTCCACTGAGATCCTGCTGAATTTAATATATACATGCTTCAGTCATGCCAGAGCTTCCATTTTTAAAATAGTATGTAGGTATTAGCTGCTCAAGCCCTATTTGAGTCAACAGGAGCTTGAAAAACGTATCCTTGCATAAACCACTTTGACATTCTCTTTGCCAAAACACCAAGAAGCCACTCAAATGAAACATCCAGTAATCAAAGCTGACAGCAGAGCTGCAATTAACAGTAACAAATGTCGGGCCGTGCTTGAACTGGGTCCCAAGAATTTCTGAGCCTAAGCCTGCTCTCCAATGCAGAAATGCTCACCGGGGCCAAAAACATTGTTCTGTTTGCCTTTCTAGGCTCTTTGAACGACTGCATAAAGGTGGAAAGCATTCCTTTAACCTTGATTCAGCTTTACATAAAGGACAGGTGTGGACAAGTCGGTGCTACAGTCATAATTTTGCTAGCTAGAAAATTCCAGTCCTGGGCACAATATAAATTATATGCTATCTTCAAAATGCACTTTCTCTCCCGCAATCCTTTTTCAATGCCTCTTCAACATTCCAATAACTTTCTAAGTACATATCTACTTGAAAATCGTGATCTGGTGTTTGTTGTTTTTAAAACAAGGGTCAGGTTTCCTAAAAAACAACTCTTTACTTTGAAAAATCTACAATTAATTTCTTGTTAGATGGCTTGTTTGTTTGTTTGCTTGTTTATGAATTTTACCCCTCCTGCACCCAAAGGCACTGAACTTCCTACAAGTTCTGAACCCAAACCCAGCTGCCCTCAAAGCCTGTGAAATGCCCCAAGCAACCTAGCCTCCCCACTGCAGCGTGAGTCTGAAGCTGTCAGCCCATTGGGGTATCACAATCAAAGTTTGAGCTTTAAAATAGAAGAGTTTATAAGGTGAGCAGAAGCGTATCATCAAAACTACCTTTGTAAAGAGAAATGACTCACAGCAGCCAAGAAAAAAATTACATCTGGGGCACACAAGGAAAGGAAGGATTGCTGCTGGCTGAATTCCCCTCTTCTGGCTGTTGCGGGAACGGCTGCTGCTAACAAAATCTACAAAACCCTAGACAAGGAGGCTAGAGGATTATCTGCCTACCTATCAGCCTGTCAGTCTATCTAATCTTATCACCCAATGAACATCCATAAAAGCGTAAAGGAACGAGCATCTATCAGGCTGGGACTTCCATACAAAGGTATGTGATAAATGTAGTGCAGTTCCTCCTGCTTCTATTGATTTTGCAAGGCTGTTGCTGCGGATAGCACTTTCAGACCCCAATTTCGGAGAATCCAGCTGTCTACGGCCAAGAAAAACTCTACCCAGCACAGCGAGTGTTTCTGACTGACACAGCCCCACACCCCAGCCCTTCACACTGTGCTGCACAGGATGCACTCAGATGCTCTGATTAATCTCTAGCAACTACTGTTGGAGAAGAAACAAGTTTGGGAGCAGTACTGTGCTTGGGGAAAAAAAAAAAAAAAAGTGCCTGTAACTGCTATTGACATTAATGAAAGCCACGTACAAACACTGAAAGGAACTGATACATTATCCCTTAAAATCTACTCAGCACTCAGGCAGTTAGGGAGTTTTATGTCAGCTCTGCAGCCAAAGCAACAGCAAATGCTCCCATTATTACTTCAAATATTTAAATTTCTGTTTCTTACAGAAATATGATGAAAATGTCTAGACGTTTAACTTTTCTTGCACAGCAACATGTGTAGTATAAAAAGTGACAGAAATCATTGAAGCAGACTAAAGTATATAACATACTCTGTCAAAAGCTTTTTTTAACAATATGTTTTACCTCAGCTCACCCTAGAATAGATTTTAATAAAACCCCTTCTGAAGTGTGATCTAATAGCAAATGAAGTGCAGCATCTTACAAGGTCATATATCTTCAAATTAAAGAGTGCTCTGCACCCTTCACCTTCATTTTATCCACTCTAATTAATCGATTTATTACCCACAGCTGTTCGATTCTTTCATTTTTAAAGTCACAGCATGCATTCTCTTTCGTTGGTTTCTTTTTCTTCCTTTAAAAAAATAAAGTGTGTGTGTGTGCATGCATTCTCCCTGCTTAGCTCAAGAGCTGACAGGGGGAAGAAAGCAGCTGTGCATTAGATGACAGCAACAGCAACACGTTTACTTCAGCAAAGGCACATACGTAAAAGAGAAGAATTCCTGAGCAGGCTGAGGATCAAGGCCAATCTAAAACTGAAATGGCTGATTAAAAAAATTACCCTCAAAATGGCAGCCAGCTGGATGCTTGCTACTATGCGTTATGTGGAACTGAGATGTTTCATTTTATTCTCCAAAACTTCACCTCCATGAAATCCAAGTGAGGAAAGAAAACTCTCTCCTTTTCACTTTTCTTTCATACAGAACAAATTAGTGCTATTAGTGATGTAAGATTTACCAACTAGAAGCTATAAAAGTCTTCCCTTCCCTTCCCCACCCTTCTCTTCCCTTCTTGTTTTGTTTAGATTTCATGTTCCTAAACACTTATCTTGAGGAGACCACTACTCACTGACTGCAGGCAATCTGTCTACCAACCTCTAACTGCTCCATAAGTGTTTGCACGTGTTTGTGTATATGGATATATATACAAGTACATGTATGCATATATATATATAAATTTTTGCAAACCTCAAAGACTCTCCCCAGACTCTTTTTTAAAAAATAATAAAAATAAAATAAAATGTTCATTTCCATATTATCACTTCGTGGTTATCTTGCCTAGAAGTTGCCCTAAGCAGTGTAGATGCTCACTTTTAAGAACAGAACAATGTCAAAAAGTCTTTGAAGATCCACTCTGAACATTTTTATATTCAAGAATTCACTAAATATTTTAAACATGCCCAGAAACAGCCATGTATTGCTCAAGAATGATCCTTATATTTAATAATGCAGTGCACCTACACTATAAAACTCTTTGTTATAAGGCTACTTTTGATATATGGCTATCTTAATCCCTAGCCACCTGCACTGAAGTCTGTCTAAATACCGGCGTTATGACAACTAGCTATATAGGCTTTGCCATGTGCAGTCTTTATCACTTTAGCATGTGCTTGACTTTAAGCATGTGAGTAATCAACATCAGGGAAACTTAAGCATAGTCTGAAGTGCTCTGTTGGACGGTGATGAAATTATTCATGTGCTTAGAGTAAAACACAAGCCAAGACTTCATTAATACTGTTCAATGAATTGCATATGGGTTCTGTAAAAAGACCTGATTTTAAGGACCAAGGGATCAAATATAATTTTTTACCTTTATGCTGGTTGGCTTCAGGGCTTCTCTAAATACAAACAAATACTACCACTGCGGGTTGAGACACTTCACAGTCTGTAGGACTGAATCCTACTGAGATGTCAGCACATGGGTTTCAGAAATCCTGATTTTAATGCTAGAAAGAACTACAAAATTAAAGAATGAGAAGACTGGGTAAATCTTAAGGGTTACTCTGGTCAAATTCCTGACCCAAGAGCAGTCCATATCTTTGCATCTGTTTCTATGCATGGTAGATGCTCAATTACCCCACTTCAAAGGCCACCCTCATGGAGAACCTGCAACCTTTTCAAGTCTATCTTATCCCTCCTCTTCTTTAAAATCATGAAGGCTGCTTTAATGCCTAACCTAAATCTTTCTTCCTTCACTTTAAGATCATAATATTGTGTCCTACCCTACATGGACATCAAAAACACAGGAAACTATTTAGTTTGCACCTCACAGGCCATTTGGGCATCATCCAGCCAGGTGATTTGTAGTTGAACAAGATCAGATCTTTTAGCATGTGCTTCCCCCAGCTTGAAATGCCAGTTGAGAAAAATCTATTGTGTATATGGCTAATCTGTAGCAGTGGTTGACTATCCTCAGTGTTTAAAATATGGTTCTCTTTTTCAATTGGAAGTGCTGGGTTCAACTGGCAGATATTAGGTCTTATCTTGTAGATTAAAAATCTCCCTAGCATCTACCTAAGTAGATAATTATAAACAATGAATTTATTGAATACTCATCTTTTCTGAGTATTATCTCAAAACATGGTTTTTCCACAAATATTAAAATGTGTTTCCTCTATTACTGCATGACAGATTATGCTCTGTTCAAAATGTCAAATTAACAATGAGTTGTTTTTTTCTTTTACATGAACAGCACAAAACAAAGTTAAATTTGCATTTCTTCCTGACAAATTCTGCCCTGAGAGAGGGGCACTGAGAGCACACAGGTAATTTTGCTCAACCTATAAGAGCAGTCTGAGTGTGTGGACATTCACTGCACTGTGCCAGGTAGCCTGAAATCCCTGGTTTACTGGTCCTCTTCTTTCTAACTTGCATCACTCAGTGAGACATGGATCTTCCTTGCCCAGTTGGTACACGACTTCCTCAGCTGAATGCTGAGTGCCTTTGCCCAGGAGATGAATTTCCCTCAAACTATCCTCAGTTATTCTGGATACCATCAAACAATAATCAGTGTAAGATAACAACTGTTGAGAATTCATTATTTTCTGCTGGGCTACAGTGACATCCAGTGCCTTACAAAGTCTCCCCTCAG